GTGAGGACCTAAGAAGTAGCATGAAGTACTTTAACCCTCCCACCACAACGTTGCCTCGGATCACCACGGCAGAGTCGTTCAATACACTCAGCGATGAGAACCGTCTAGACCCTTCAAGATGTATCAGCGTACCGTTGCCGCCATCCATATGAAATGTGTTACCCACCACCGCAAACAAGGAGTGCCACGACACCCTCAGCACAGATCCCACAACGTGAATGGCGTTTGACGATGCCGCCACGGCGTGAAACACATTGCCACTGAACACCACCGCGGAGTCGTTGCTGATCGCCAGTCCATTCATCGCGACACACGACGGGCTCCATACGTCCAAACCCGACCGAGGGATCAGCCTTGTGACCGTAAAGCGGTTCCCGCTGACCGTGATGTTCGTGTGCGGTGGAAACCCACCCTCCGGGCTGAGCAGCGCGTCATGGAACGTGTTGCCGGTGACGATGATGTTCAGCGACCCCAAAGCGGCGTGTGCGTTGCCCAAGAGCACCAGCACGGCGCCGTCCCTCCAAGTGCATCCATCGAACGTGACGTTCGCCACTTCGCCCATCATCGCCCCTATCAGCACCGTCAGGCTCATGCCACCCCCGCTGAACGTCACGTTGCGGTAGCACAGCCACGACAGCCCGCCGCCCACTGCCTGCGCAACCTCGGGGTACACCATGTCGCTGATGCACCCACCAACCGGCGGCGATGGCGGTGGCGGTGGCGGTGGCGGCGGTGGCGGCGGTGGCGGCGGCAGTGGCGGTGGCGGGCCAGCAGGCACAGGCGCCGGGACACACACATCGCCGTGCCCTCCAGCAGCGCACTGGCACTTGCAGTCAATGATCGCCGTCGTCAGCGGTGCAAAGCAGTCGCCGTCCTTCGTGCACTCCCCGCACGCGGCAACCGTCGTCACGTTGGTGATGCCGTTAAGCTCCAGTTCAGCCGCCGTCGTCACCTTCCGACCCGCGAGCGTCAGGCACCCAGCAACGAACCGGTAGCCGGTTTCAGTCCGCAATAGCAGAGGCTCCGACAATCCCGTCAAGCCCATCTTGCAGCCCGTCAGCGTCACAACACTGCTGCTGTCGATGCTCACTAAGGCGAACTCAGTGTCGTATAACATCGCACCCAAACCCACGTCGTTGTCACGCCAATCCAACCAGCTTGACTCCTGGACGGTCCACGAGTCGTCTGCAAAGATGGCGTAGCACACAGAGCCGCTGTTCCCCACCACGCGCAACACGCTGTGATCCAACACGCTGAAGTCTTGGTACTGAAGCAGGAAGCTTGTTCCGGAGGACATTGTATTGTTGAGCAGCGCAAAAACAGAGTGATTGCGGACACTGAGCATGGCCACGTGGAACAGGTGTGTGTATCCATCGAAGCTGCAGTACCGCGTGTACAGCGAGCTGCCACCCACCAGCGTCAGAGTCCCGATCGAGTAAAAACCAAACAAACCGTACCTCGATGCATTCGCCTTGACGTTGCTGACCAACAAAAAGGAACCACTCAACAAGACTTCCCGCAGCATCACCACGCTCAGCTTGTTAATCCCATTTTCCAAAGTCTGAACTGCGGAGGACTGCACCGCATCAACCTCCGTGACGGCAATGTCGCAATGCTGCGGAAGGGCACCCATAAAAACAACGACGGAGGACCGCATCACCGTCCGGCCCACGCGGATCAGGACGCCGGCTGACTCGGCCGCCTCAGCACCCCCAACAAACTGCAGCGCGGCACCCTCACGGAATGTGCACCCGGTGAGCGTAATGTTGATGGGGAGATGCAGCGGCATACCGTCGAGAAAGAACGTCAGCACAGCACCCACGCCGCTGAATATCACACCCACGTAGCAGTGGTGCGTCTTCCACATGTTCAGCGCGAGGCTCGTCAGCGTCTGGCTCACTACGCAGCTCGTGTCGCCGTCGACGGCTCTCTCCGGCAAGGGCGGCACAACCGTGTCGGGCACCTCGAAGGGAAGACACGACGCGCCATGCCATCCGTCCTTGCAGCTGCACGAGCACGAGCCGCGGTCCACCGACTCCGTCCCGGGCATGTAGCACGCCGCGTCGTCGTTGCACGTGCCGCACCTGAACACCACCACGAGCTTCGGAAACACACCGGCGTACGACGCCTCCTCACCGTCCTGAAGGTTGCACCCAACCACAAACCGCGCGGGTGACGCCACAACCGTCTTTGACAGAGCCAGACCAGCAAAGAAGGCGCTTCCCTCCACCTGACGGTTGTTTGCAAGCGCCGCGGTGGTGCCTCTGTCCGACAGCTGAATTTTGTGCTGGTGACGCGATATACTTATTATTGAGGCTGCACTTACGTTGTTGCCCGTCACACGCCACTGCGCACCACCCTGGAAAGTCACAGAGCCAGAAAAATACAACAGCGCGGAATTCAAAACTCCCGCTCTGCCAACAAAGGTGCAGTCCGCCACTCTCAGCAGCCCCGAAGAGCCCACGCCAGCATCCCCAAGAAGAAAAAAGCCATTAGCCGCGCTCATTGTGTTGTTCTCAACGTCAAGGTAGCCGCCGTTCTTCAAATCAACAGCGCAAACATAAACAGATGCTTCCATACCCTCATCCTTCTCCGTTGTACCCAGCGTATTTCCCTTCACAATGATCCCGCCACCATCAACAACAACATCATTGGTAAAATAAACTGCGTACCGATTCCCTTCAATGCGGTTGTCAAGTAGCAGCAGCGTCGAGTTCTCACTGGGGTAAAAATTCAAAAATAGAATGGCGTGGCTCGACGTCGTCACAATTGCACTGCCCACCACCAGTATCTGGGAACTCGCTCCAAAATCACCCTCAAACTCCAACTCACCAGAATCCAGCATCGAAGAAGTCACGTTCACGTGCACACGCCCACCACTCCCCTTGACCGACAGGCCCGCGAGGACGCACTGCAGCAGGGTGACGTTGAGTGTCTTTTCCAGTGCGTCAAAAAGCGAGAGGTCCAGCACGATCGCGGCGGTGAAGGTCACGTTGACAAAGCACAGACCACGCACACCGGGATCAGGATAGTCCACGGAGCTGATGCTGCCACCGTGCACGCAGCGTACCTCCGTGTCCTTCGCGTCGGGGAGCGGGAGCGGTCCAAGGCCGTCCGGAACCGCAGCTGGTAGACAAGTGTCGCCGTGACCGCCAGCAGCGCACACACACTCACAGCCGCTGATGCTGCTCGTCCTCGCTGCAAAGCACACGGCGTCCATGGTACACACGCCACAGTCCAACACCGTCACAGGCGTCCCAATATTCAGGTCGTACTGGTAATCCGTCACAGGAGAGCCCCTTGCCTCGTTGCACACGCCGTAGATGATCGGGCGCGAGTCGGATGGTTGTGACCAATCGTTTGTCATGTGTGCATGAGTCGACGAGTACGAGCCGTGCGTGAGTTTGTTGTCAAGTATCGACCACACACTCCGATCGCGGAAAGCCACGCCGTAGTAGTTATTCACGTGCACGACGTAGGCGGTGCGAAACTCGTTGTCGCGGTGCACCAGCCAGCTGCCGCCGGTCACGGACAAAGTGGCTGCCATGAGCATGGCAAAGCTGAGGCGGAAAGTGTTGGACACGATCTGCAGCACGCTGCCGCCAGCCACCGCAACATCCCTGAACCCACACGCGCCGTTATAGTATTCGGTGCTCGGCACACTCCAAGAGCTGTTCTGTATGGAGAACACGGAGCCGCCGCTGACACGCAGGTCCGACGCAAGACCGTGCATCACTTGCGTCCGCGACACGACAACGCAGTTGTCCATGTAGAAGGCGCTGGACAGGTCGGCGCCAAGGCTGCGCTCCACGAGGATAGCCGCGCAAGAACCCCCGCCACACGCCAGCGTAGACCGCGTCATGACAAACCGCGTCGACAGAAGCCGGACGCCGTCCAGGACAAGCGCGGAGCCGTACCGGTATCCCGCACGGCCATGGGTCGTCGGCACGTACCGCGACCCGCCAACCGTCGCACGCAGCGTTGAGTTCGCCAGCAGCACACTCGAGTTCGGCGGCATCGCGCCATGCAGCACGAACGTGCCCTCCAGCGACGTCACATTTGTCATGTTGACGAGGGCGTGAGGCATCGAGAGCGCCGTGCTCTCGCTGAGGCCACCAATCCGCAGCTGCGCGCCGCCCGCAAGCACGCAGTGGCGCAGCGTCACGTTCAGAGCGTCAGCGAACGCGTCCATCGAGCGCAGGTCCACCCCCACGGTGATTGGCCCGCTGAACACCACCAAGTCGAAGCACGCCGTCGCCCGCCCACCGCCAACCGTCACGGACTCCGTCAGCGTCACGCCACTCACGCAGTCCTGCGAATCACCACCGGCCCTCGCAAGCGGCACGTCGAACGGCAGGCACGCCTCGCCCACACCGCCGGCACGGCAGCTGCACGCGCAGTCAGAGAACGAAGCCGTCAGCGCATCGAAGCACGCCAGCGCGGCCGCACAGCCGTCGCACGGCACCACGCTCACGGAGGACAGGCCGGCCATGCGGTAGTCGCCGCTGCTCTGCAGCACCCGGCCGCCGGCACGGTTGCACTGCACCGACACGACGCCGCTCGTGATCGCCGGCCCGGAGACAAGCGTCGCGCCGGCGGCAGTGCAGCGCGCAATCGACACGGTGCCGCCGCTCAGCGTCACACCCGACAGCGACGCCACAGACGAGGCCTCACCCACCGCCCACACGTCGCGCAGCTCCAGCCACCCGCCGGCACCCACCGTCCCACCGTCGCAGCGCACCAGCGACGACGCGACAGACCCCTCGACGCCCACGAAGCGCAGCACCGAATCAAACACCGCGAGACGCTCGCCAAGCACAAGGCCGCCGCCGCTGCTCACAACAGAGACGTTCGTCACGGAGAACACCGAGTGGCTCCGCAGACTGAGAATCGACGAGGACGCCACATGCACCGCGGATGCGGTCGGACCGCCCGACGCCTCCAGTAAAACGCCGTCAAGCACCACCGCGCTCGACAGCAGGTCCACGTCGCCGCCAACGTACACCGCCGACCCGCCCGCGTGCAACGACCTCAGCACAGTGTTGCTCACACGCAGCTGCGTCTGCAACAGCGACGTCGCGTGCAGCACAAGCGGCGACGCCACCGCGTCCGTCAGCCCGCTCAGCTGCGAGTAGCGCATCGGTCCAGGCGTCACAATCGTCGAGTCGCGGACCGTCACGTTCGTGTGTGCCGGAAGGTTGTGCACAAACACAAGCGAGCAGTAGCTCCCGGAAAGCCCGCTCACGCTCACCTCCAGGCTCCGGTCACTCGCCGGCTCGCCGCTGTAGCCCCGCACGTAGAGCTGCGCACCGCCGTCGCACACGCAGTTCCTCAATTCGATGCGCAGTGTGCCGAGAAGCATCGCCGCAACGTCGAACACCACAGCCACGCCGTTCGTGATGGACACGCCGTCCATCAGCACCGTGTCCACGGCGCGGCCAACCGTGATGGCCCTGTCCACCGTACCGCCCCGCAGTCGCAGCACCACCGCATGCACCGCGGGCATCCACGCCGCCGCCGCAACCAGCACCAACACCACAAGCAGCGCCAAAAGCACAGCCGCAAGGGCCCTGTGCCGCTCGCGGTGCCGGCTGCGCGGACACGCACCCACAGCAGACCGCATCCTCCAACCCACACAGGTATCAATAAAGCCTTCTTATTCTATCGCTCTCGCCCAGTCGACCGTAACTCCTGCTTCGCAAATCCCCTTTCTACAGATGGCGAATCCAGTGACACAATTCCGATATTTCGTTATCCCACTACTGCTAATCCTAATACTGCAAGTAATCCCTAGCACCTTGAAACGATAGTTGTGATGGTCAATCCAAAGTATCTCTATCTGCTCGGTCGGAGAAGAAAAAGACAGAAACAACAGTCACTAAACACAGTGGCACGCAGAGACATCCGGCCACAGAAAATCCCCGCCAAAGCGCAACCACCGACACAAAGAAGCACAGACGCAACCACGCAGTGACACCATCGCCCTCCCACCACCCACGCAGCCCCGCACAGCCACCATGCAGAGTGGTGGGATCCCGGCAAAAAGACGCATGACCATTGGCGCCGCTCCTGCTACCGAATGGCCACATCACAGAGCAATCCCGATGCCGTGGACGACACACAAGAGCCGAGACAGACCCACGTGGCAGCGTTGCAACCGCCAGCCATCGAGCGAGTAAGAGAAGGTGTTATTGGTGACGCGGAATAGGGGTGGAGGATTCGCCAGTTGCCAGCAGTCAGAGTGTCGTTTTTCGCTCACGTGGGTCGGCATTGCGCAACAAACAGCGGCACCCTACGCGCACTGCATTACACAAGGAAGGGATGAAGAAGCACGGCGGCAGAACTCAGTCACAGAAAACAAGAGCCCAAATCAATTGCACGCTCCGATTGACTCGCAGCCGTCCGGATGGTGGTCGCACCGCTGCCGCGAGGTGCGTGTGTCCGCAGAAAACTGCAATGATGAAGAAAGGGGACAGAGACGCAGTGCGGTCCTCATCTATCTCGGTTGGATGTGACACCGATAACGTCATCTCGCCAGATTGCCTGCAGCAAAGGCCGTCGCATTCAGCAGCGATCGGTGCCTTCCTTCTCCCACTGGGGCGCCACTCCACCAACGCCGTCGCTCACCTCCTCCCCCACCAACACAACGAGGGAGCAACAGCGGACGATGCGGCGCGTGCGACGAGCACGCAGTCGCAATGACCAAACAAAACAGGGGTGCACAGAGCACTTTATCCAAATCCTCGGCCATCACACTTTTTAGAAAGAAGAAGGAAGGGAGACATGCCGACAGAACCGTCAGTTTCATTCCTGCCTCTGGTTGGAACACAACACAACAATAAGACAAAGGCCAGGCGCACACCAATGCGGGCAAGCACACACACACATCGTCGTGACGCCGTCGGTGCGCGCACAAGGAGAAGAATGCTGCGCCCCACGGCAGACACGGCTCGCACAGTGCACACGCCGCAAAACAGCATCCAAAAAACAAACGCACACACCGCCAGCAGTCACCTACCGTGGACGAGGAGGAACAACACACAGCCTCCGCCTCCAGCTCAATCCCACGGCCAACGGGATACGGCCACAGCCCCGCAGCCAGCACACAACGCACGCGGAGCAAGCAATCACCCAAAGAGCCACACGCGGAAACGGATCCTCACCCATCCATGACGCGGCGCCTCACTCCACGCGGTCACACGAGGCTCACTGTTTCCTCAATAGAACTTATGCCTCGTCCATCCCTTAAAGATGCTTCCTTTAATGATGGGGCTTAGAACACCATAGAAGAAAATGGACAACGCAGTCATACTGCAACAATGCCAGCCACAATCATCCTCCAACTAAGGTGCAATTCTCCAATTATGCCTCGTATGCACGAACAAGTAACATACTATAAGAAAATCACCCAATGTTTTTCACCAAAAACCAAGCAACCCCATGCCTTCCCTAATTTCTTCGGTCACCGCTACGATCAATAGCGTTGGACATTTTGGCATTCGTGTGCGGTGCCACCGCCTGGTGCTGGTGCACCTGCAGCGTATGCACACATAAGCATCCAAAAATATATATATCCAAAAGTGTTTTCTTTACTAAATCAAAGCTGCCCCATTCCCCAATTTGCTCTCCTATTTCCGTGGTTATTCCTCACTTCGGAGAGCTGCATATCCGCTAAAGTCCTCGGATGATATTGACACTTGGTACTGGCGCACCTTTTCCTTCCAGGACCCCGCCATTTCACGGCTTTCATCGTCGCTCACATTATCGGAATTGTCGACACCACATCTCTGCCAGTCATTCATCGACGTGCTGCACGTAAATCATCTCCCACAACATGTCTCGGGATAAATTCCTCCCAACCACTAAAATATGCCGCCAGGCACTCAGTGAACTGCCTCACAGTGCTGGTTATCGTGTGATGCCCACCCGCCGTAGCCATCCGCAGCCCAGCCAGCGTCTTCCGTCGTGACTCCACAAAGAAAAAAAGGGGTCCACCAGTGGGAATTTCCCAACCGCCGGTGTGCACAGCAGCCGATACTTCAAATTTTCCCTCTCAGAAGAATTCTTCAATGAAACCAATCCATATGAATCGTTGGGGTGCCCTTGAGGTTTAACGTTGGCACTGCGTACTGTCCTCCACAACTTGCTGATGGCTTCAGCTCAAGGTCCTCTGCTAATGCACTGGCAAACTCCCAA